GGGGGGGGGGGGCATATTCTTGAAAGTAGACGCATCGATCGTCATAAGTGAATTCGTCCCTTGGAATATAACCCTGGAAGACGTACTTGGAATACTTTGAACGTGGTCTCCTAAGAATTTTCACAAGACGGCTCATGAATGCAAATTAAAACGTTTACCCCCTTCCCCCTCCATCGTTCCCTCGTTATTCGACCCGACGTATAAACCGGGTGTTCAAAAGTCGATAAGCCCCCTCTCCCCTCGCCCCTCGCGCAAGGCCTAAATAATGAACGCGCGGTAAACAAGCGTCCCCCCCCCACCCTCCTATTTTTCTTTCGTTCTTTCTCCTCCTTCTTCATTCCCCCTCTCCTCCGCCTCCTCTTTTCCCCAAAGCTTCCGCGTTTTTATTGGGGCGGAAAGGAGCGTAGAGAAAAGAGGACCAGCCTTGTGGAACGAGGCCGTGGTCGATCCCCGAAATTGGCCCCCGAATTTCACAGAGGGGAGGAACTATTTCCTTAGAGCAACTCTCTTAGGAACTCTCTTAACTCTGCACGTTCAAGCCACGATCTTTTTTCGTTCAGTTTCGGGCCGTAACCGCGTTACCCATGCTCGAATGCGAGTTAATACTCGCTTAGCCGCGATTCAATTCAATTTCACGGCACCACCCTCCCATTCCTCACTTGTCCCGAGCCGAAAAACTTGTCCGAAAAATTTTTCCCCGTTGACTCGAGGGGGAGGGAGGATTGCCGGCTCATTAATTTCACTCGGTTGCGAAACGGGGCGAATTAACGAATCGCTGGACAAAAGGGAGGGGGAGGGGAGGGAATTCTCGCGTTTTTCGTTGACCAACGCGGGACCCACTGTGGCGTCGGTCGCTCAGTTTCCCTCGATTGCTTATGCAATCCTCCATTTCCCCGGGAATTGACCGCTAACGAAGCGAAACACCGCGCCGTAATCGCGGCGGCAAGTCGGCAACGCTGCTTCTCTCCATGGTAACCCAGTTATCGTGGAATTTATCGTGAGCCGGATGTAAATATATTTTCGTTTTGTTTCTCGTCGAGTTGAAAAGGAGAGAAGAATATTAAAAAAGACAATTTATTCTTTCTCTCTGTTATTGCCCTCCTTTGTCGACGGGTAATAATATACATTTATCTATTCAAACAATTGAAAAAATTTCTTTGAAAAAATCTTGTTATTCCAACTATCGGGCGAGAGGATCAGGTTGAACAAGGAGAGAGCAATATTTTCGATATGCTAATAATCTCGAGGGCGTATCGGGATACGTGGAATAGTGATCCAAACAGTCATGCAACATTCATGAGCCATCGTACATATCACTTCGCTCGCCCTTTTGCTTTCCACGCGGTAAATCTTTGTCGCGTCGTGTCGTGTCGTGTCGTATCGTATCTTTCGGCATTCGAGGATACCGTTCACGGAATGACGCGTAATATTTTTTAATGTCTGTTTTCTTTTTTAACTTTCTATCTTTTTTTTTTGGTTCACAAAATTTCTGGACGCAAAATTCGTTTCGAAATTTTTCTCCATCGATCGGTAAGTGGAAAGGGAATCACAGGGTTTGTCAGACGCGAAAACGAGTGAAAATTGTGCATCAGCTATCGAAACAATTCTCGCGGCAAAACGCGTGTGTAAATTCATGGCACGCCTTTGAACACCGTCTACGTTTCACGCGTCGAGTAGCAGCCGACTAATTACGCAAACAACGCAATGAACCAGACGGACAATAAATTAATACTCTTTGTATCCGGTAATTAACGTCGGGCCAATTAATTAAAATTGCGAGCGTCGCTTCGAAACAATCTATATTCGTCAAACTATATCTCCGATAATTTCTTGCCCGATAAATTCGCGTTAAAAAAAAAAAAATCTCTTTTTTTCCTTCTTCCAACCTGAGTCTTCGAGACGCAATATATATATATATATATATCGAAGATACGCGTCTTCAAGCTCCTGCAAACAGTCGTCTGTTTATGCGCACGAAATTTACGACCCTCTCTCTTTCTCTCTCTTTCTCCGTCTGGAAATATATTAATATTTGTAGTAGCACGTCTATGTATAAAATATACGAATATACGAATATACAAGCACGATTCAAAATTTGATACTCGTGAACGAGATGATTCGTGAAAACTGTTGGTAGAAGAAGGACAATTTTATCGCCGGTTTAAAACATCGTTTTAACATAGCTCCTCCGTTTCTGTTGCAGCGTCATTCTGCGACATGGTTCTCAACAGCGACACGACGAAGACGGGGGTGGTCACGTCGCCGGGATATCCGAATCCTTATCCACCGAGGACGCACTGTACGTACGAGTTCCAGGGGCGGGGAAAGGAACGAGTCCAATTGGTATTCCACGATCTCAACTTGTATCATACGTCCAACACCGCGAACGAGTAAGT